AAAGACTTGCGCCGAATTTCTGACCACCAGAGGAGCTCAAGTTATTGTTTACAGTTCACCGTTTGTTTTGTTTACTTCAACAACAACTCGATGGACCACTTCCTCTGATGATCGTTCTAGGAAAACTCTACTCGCATTCGTACTTCTGAATGGAGCCAATCGCAATTAACCGGATAAAACCACAGATTTTTGGAGGGGTTGCCCAGAGCCGAGTGGAACAGTACCTGAGTACTAGCCTGATTCAGAAATTATACAGTGTTGATCTGTTGTTGAATCGTTTTGCCATAGAATACGCTGCATAACACAACAGAATAATAAAACAACAATTTATGCCCATCAACAGCAATCCTAAGTTCTTCACGAGAGCGTGAAGTTACGGCAAATATAAGTTTCACATCAACAATCATTCCTGCAAGGTTATCGAGCATTTGCTACAGACATAGGAGGCGTTCACACTTACTGGAAAGTTCTTATCCAGTATAGCCTCGACAAAAGTTGACATGAGAAGGAAAATTGGTTCCAACTTCAGTAATCGACTAAAACTGAAGAATATGAAGTTTCTGAGGATCATATATCATCACGCATCGACACCTGTAGCTCACGATTGACTGTTCAGACCGGGTGTGCTTTCATCGTTTGATTTCCTTTACCAATGGATTTACTTCGTGTTTCTGAACCAGGGCTCCTATGGCTGCCGTTGTGCATTTCTTTGACATCTCCATCTACATCAAGGAAAGGTGATCCAGGGAAGACTCGAATCTCATATTTCCCCATAGACGGCAGTGACTGTCCTTTTTTCTGTTCGGTGCTGACTGCTCTGAATGCAGCCGACTTCGTCCATGGCGCTGGTTCGCTTCTCGCCAAAAACAGAAAGGGACAGCAACAGACGATCACGAACGAGCCTGTGCCGAAGAAAAGGCGTGACCACTGAAAGCCGACTTCTAAGTGCAAATATAAAACATCATGTGAAGTGAATGGAACTGAAATCAAACCAAGGGATTGCATTAGGAAGTGAATCAGACATTTGCCGTCCCTGGAACTTGGGCGTTTATTGCCATATACGTACTCTGTGCCTCTGTGTCTAGCAGTCGTAATAGGTGACACTCCGAAAATTGTCGAAGCGCTTTCTCATCTTCGAAAGCGATGAACTTTTCGTAACGTCAAGGGAACTGGGTGGTTCACCATTAAAAAACTCATTCGGCACAGGAGCATCGAATAGTGCAGGTAGCACTCTGCTTTCTTGTCTCCATCCGATGTTTTCGTTAAGAAAAACATAGTTTTTCTCTTAGGTATTAACCAGGTTTCATTGATCTATACAGTAATCCTTCTGTTGGTCCTGGAGTTTATGCCCAGTTATAGCGGAGTACATTCTCAACGATACCGTAACGCCTTCCTATCAGATTTTTCTAGACAGTTCCTCCTATATTGCCTGATGCCTTCTACCTCAGTGGGCGTGGCTAATGTATCCTTACCCTATGAAATCTATTTTACCTCCATAGCTGACATTTTGTGGGTTCTGAAGGATCGGCTGCCTGAACGCTTGAGCCGAGCCATCCCCGTGATCACCTAATAGGGCTCAACTTTGGCAACCGGCGACGTATGCCTTCCGTTCCATGCTAACCCACAACTGGTCGAAGATATTCCTTATAAGTAAAAGTAATTGCTTCAAAAACTCGAGTCTCCTCGGCTCACCTCGTGCATAGAGTTGTTTGGGCAGAATAATGCGACGACAAAAGGTAGAATAAAGCTGATCACACAACCACCTATAGTGACGCACACCATTACGAAGTGAACGTGCTGTCTTGCAACCTAAACGAGATCGGTTCCAGGCACGTGAATGGGTCGGGTAGGTGTGCAGCACCCTTGTGTTAATTAAGCTGTGGTGGTTCAGTCGAGTTAAATGACGGTTTATGATTCAGCGATAACAAGCTTACAAACTACAAGCGGAACAACCAAGCAATGGTCTGCCGGGGTGGGCGGTCCTTCAGTCGCGTCCTCGACCATGCGAAATAAAATGCATGGACGAGGACGCGACAGTGCGCGGGCGCCCGGCGCGACTCAAAAGATATGTTATACAATAAGAAAAAGCACAAAATCAGGTATCACTTGCTTCTACTGATGTACTGAACGACTTCGCTTGGGCTACTCGCACCTGCACGCGACGGGATGATCAGAACGATCGGACTGCGAAAACAGCGTGTAGTGGCCA